ACAAAAGGAAGCTCTCTCGGGTTGTTTTTTTAAACTAAACATCTAAAATGACCACGTCATCAGTGTGTGTGTGTGTGTGTGTGTGTGTGTGTGAGTGTGTGTGTGTGTGTGTGTGTGCGTGTGTGCATGCGTGCATGCGTGTGTGTGTGTGTGTGAGTGCCTAGAGAAAGATCCTAGTCGTCCAATATTTTCCATGTATTGAAATAAGGGCATATTTATTTTTTGTAGCAATTTAAATGCTGAATATATATGCAGATGTTAAATTTTTTCCAATATCTTGAGTAGTTTTAAAGATATATATATAAAGCCATATTTAGTAACACACAGTGTAAAACCATATCCTGAGTAGTTTTTAAGATATATTATATATAAAGCCATATTTAGTAACACACAGTGTACAAACAAAGTTTGGAGAAAACTCCCAATTTCCAGCACATTTGAAGCCTTTGGTGAAGCACATTTTGCAAGGATAACTAATTTTGAAAAATATTTACACTACACATCTAAAAATCTGATAAAATCCTTTCCAAGTGATATTAGCAAAGGAAAAATGTGTTTCCTGTGGAACGACATGTTTGATCTGGTCTTTTTTGGCCTTTCACCTCGCTGCTCTACCATAGCTTTGTCAATATCCAGGCACACACACACAAACACACAAACGCACACAAACACACATACAAACACACACACACATAGTTCAGTAATGACCTAGATTTAATCCATTTATCATTGAAGGGGGCGGGGGAACAAAAATATGTTCCAAAATAAAAGTCCTTTTCTGTATCTGGACAGAATTGGGTTTTTTTCCCAAAGAGAAACATTAGACATTCTAGTTCTCTGTTAAAGTTCCAGACTGAACAGAAGAGCTCGTTTTGTTCCGTTCTTCAAAAACATGCGTGATAGATTACCGGGTAAGTACTAACACAAGAAAAGTAAAAAGATCAATTATTTAGGTATTGAAGCATGGCTTCAGCCTCTCATTCTACAAGAATTAAACTGCAAAAGTCTAAGAGGTAAAAAGTAAAAGTCTGTTTAAGGCACTCTGTAGCAAAGACATAAACATGTTTTGGCAGTTGGTGAGCATTTAATATCACGTACAGGTACCACAAGAAGAAACGGTTTACACCGTTACATTCATGGTAAGCGGGTGACAGTCACAAGAGGAAATGGTTTACACCGTTACATTCATGGTAAGTGGGTGACAGACATAAGAAGAAATGGTTTACAACCGTTACATTCATGGTAAGTGGGTGACAGTCACAAGAGTTACATTCATGGTAAGCGGGTGACAGTCACAAGAGTTACATTCATGGTAAGCGGGTGACAGTCACAAGAGTTACATTCATGGTAAGCGGGTGAAAGTCACAAGAGGAAATGGTTTACACCGTTACATTCATGGTAAGTGGTAGACAGTCACAAGAGAAAATGGTTTACACCGTTACATTCATCGTAAGTGGTAGACAGTCACAAGAAGAAATGGTTAACACCGTTACATTCATGGTAAGTGGTAGACAGTCACAAGAGGAAATGGTTTACACCGTTACATTCATGGTAAGTGGGTGACAGTCACAAGAAGAAATGGTTTACACCGTTACATTTATGGTAAGCGGGTGACAGTCACAAGAGTTACATTCATGGTAAGTGGGTGACAGTCACAAGAGGAAATGGTTTACACCGTTACATTCATGGTAAGCGGGTGACAGTCACAACAAGAAAGAACTAAACAGGGGTATTCATTTCCAATGAAAAGACTGCTTACTGCTACGAATGAAAGAAAATGAAAATGAAAATTTTAAAATTCCAGAACCCATTTCTATTTTTCCAGACATAAGTAGGCTATCAAGTACAAGCATAAAATCATCAACATATTGTGCACAACAACAAAAAACAAAACAGCTGTAAAACGAAACAGTTGTTGATATTTTGAGCAATATCTTTGGATTCTTATTGTGTGGACGGGTTGATCTTTTTTTTTTTTGG